TGACTGGCGCTGCAGTAAGAGGAAAACCGATACCTTTGAGACTGTAATCAGAGGAGTAAAGAGGATCTCATCCGTCTGTTAGCGCACACACACACACACACACACACACACACACACACACACACACACACACACACACACACAAACGTGCAGACTCTGATGGTCTGTGAACCGGAGCATTTACGTATTTTCCAATTCCCAGCTGCCACTCGCAGCGGCGGGACGAGGAGCATCAGCCAATCAGAGAGCAGGGAGGAGGGCCGGCCTGTCAGACGGGGCCCGGGGCCACACAGAAAGCATCACTTATACATCACACACACTGACAGCTGATTCAGGACCAGTGCCAACACAGAGGAGAAGTGTTCATAACAGGACACACTGCAAACGTGACTGCATCTATGAGTGTGTGTGACATCTCTGCAGATGTATTACAGAAGAAAAGCTGAAATATCACATGAGCCTCAGTATTCAGAGGCTGTTTCTCAATTCCAAGAACGTTCTTGTGGAGAGCGGTCCTGCCAGGTCACCTCGGACGAACGAACTCGGGAGACCGCGAGGACAGAGAACGCGTCCTGTGAGAAATGAGATGCTGCGTTCTTCCTGATGGTCACATGACCCTCACATGTTTTTAATGGTAAATTATTTAAACATTGCAGCATTCATACAACCATTTATTACTTTTCCCGTTCATAATATATTCATTCATTCATTTTCTTGTCGGCTTAGTCCCTTTATTAATCCGGGGTCGCCACAGTGGAATGAACCGCCAACTTATCCAGCAAGTTTTAACGCAGCGGATGCCCTTCCAGCCGCAACCCATCTCTGGGAAAGTTCATATTATATACTCTGCATAAATACTTAACAAATATACGCCGCACAATACACATAAAACTGATTTTAAAATGCATTTCAGTACATAAACACCCTTAATGTGTTTACCCTGCTGAAAAATCCAGCTTAAACCAGTCTAAGATGGTTGGCTGGTTTTAGCTGGTCAACCAGGCTGGTTTTAGAGGGGTTTTGGCCACTTCCAGGCTGGTTTCCAGCCATTTCCAGCCTGGTCTTAGCTGGTCAGGCTGGAAAGTGACCAGCTAAAATCATCTAAAACCAGCTTGACCATCCTGGTTTAAGCTGGACATAGCTGGTT